TGGATGTTGAGCTTTTCGTTGTTCTTGTGTGTCGTACGCGCGTAAGCGCTGGAAAGTATCTCGTATCAGTAGGCGAACAAGGCTGCGGGAATGGAGCTGGGGTCGCACCGTCCCATTCGTGGGCCTGGGCTTCTAGCGGCGGTCCTGTGGAGGAACCCAGACATCTTTTATCCAGAGTGAGCCAAGTTAGCATCGGTAGCACGGGGATCTGCGGCTCGCCCCGTGATATATTCCGTTGTTCTCTTTTACTCTTTAGTAGTTCAGGAGTTTAGTAGTTTAGTATTTATTGTATACAAGGTGTCCCAAAAAAATGTATCGAACGTTTGATCGTTAATATCTCTCTTCCCAAGAAGTCTTTTGCTCTGCTTTAAGTACCGTTTTGTAGAACTGCCTTCAGCTTAGATTTGCATTATAGAACGAATCACCCATCTCTCTTCATTACTGTAGGATTACGGTAGAAACTTGAAATATATGGTGTCAATGTGGAAAAAGCTGCCATTTCAAAATTTTTCAAAAAAATGCGAAAACTTCTGTAATAGGGTTTTTGTGGACGCTGAGTTTAATACTCAGCTATTCACAAGATTACGAGGCTTTCTAAACGGTGTAACCGCACTTTTTAGGAACACTGAAAAAATGGCCGGCTACCTCTTACCTGGCATAACTCTTCAATGAAACATCATAATAAGTTGGTAACTTTACAGTTATAATCAGCAACTCTAATTAGCCTAGTGCAAATGTTTCGAGGCTGTTTGGTTTCCTTTCTGAGGCAAAATATGGCTTTTGATTGCTTAAAACTTTTTTTGAAGTTTCTACCGTAATCCTACAGTAATGAAGAGAGATGGGTGATTCGTTCTATAATGCAAATCTAAGCTGAAGCCAGCTCTACAGATTGGTACCTGAAGCAAGGAAAAAGACTTCTTCAGAAGAGAGATATTAGCGATCAAACGTTCGATACATTTTTTTGGGACACCCTGTATATTTGTAATTGTTGTATATATTTTGTTATTTGTTCACAAACTTAATTAATCTACAGCGCGTTATGTCATTGTAGTAGGATCGGTGATCGCGTCGAGTAGACGCGCCGAAGGGCCCGTCGGTGTTGTACACGTTAGTCCCTAGGGCTAGGAGTGGTCGTGTTTGGTAGTCGTACGAGGCTAGAGTGCTGAGCACGTCGGAGCCGCAACAGTAACACTCAAAGCTGCATAGATGACTCCCATTGACGAATTTGTGGAGACAGTTTGAGTCCATATAACAAAGCTTTAACGATTCAAATATAATATCTGTTTGCAATAGTTTAAACTTTCTTATAGATCCTGCTCTTGAAAATCTTTGAAGTTTAAGTAGAAGCTTCTAAATTTTTCATGAGTGATGAAGAACAGAGTTGCTGTTTGAGAGCAACCCGATCCAAGTTAATATTAATTAAATAAAATAATTTAATAGTCCAATCAAAAAAATTCTTCAGCTAATTCGTGCGGCTCTACGTAATGTTATGCTCACCTTCGCAGTGGCTCTATTTTAGACTTGCATGTTTGAGCTTCCCTTTCAGAAGGTAAAATTGCTGTATTTTGCTTGTTGCACAAAATATGATAAATTCAGTTGAAAACATGGTATTGATTAGGATGAAGCGATCGCTTACCGTTCAGCCGATCGCTGAAGGTGCTTTGGTTTTGGAAGAAGAAAAGTCGACCAAACATGATCAGATATAATGAAGCTACTATAAAAACAAAGCTGCAGAGATGACTCCCATTGACGAATCTGTGGAGACAGTTTGAGTCCATATAACAAAGCAGTAAAGGAATTAGTTCTGCTATGCGATTGACAAGCTGCATCCAACATGGGAATGGCCAGAAGTCGGAATGGTCAAACGCAATAAATGTATGGTCAAGTCATTCGTAACTTAATATACGTAATGCACACTATACACACTAAGTGACGAACTGCAAAACTAGAATCTGCTAATTTACAGCGATTTCTCGTTGTTCCCTTGTCTCTTTTATTTTTGCTGATTATGCATTAATCAATGGAACACATTTCCACACTTTGTCAGGCTAGAAGATATTTCACCTTAAAGCTACCAGTAACGGTGCAGTCGCTAATAGGGCTTAGTGTGCAGTCTCACATATTAAGCTACAAATTACTGGAATTATGTAATTTGAGTCAGTCGGCTGAATACTCAACCCTTCTTCCATCTGCCAAAGAGGTCTTCTACAAATGGCGGTCTGTCTCAGGGTGTCCTCATCCCGTGAACAATAATCCACCAAAGTGCAAGATTAAACGTATGAGGTATTTCTGAGTGTGCAGGCTTATTCTGATGGGTAAAAAATGGTTTTCTTTTGTTCTATCAGGATGTCCCATAATTTTTCATCGTTTTCACTACAACCGTCGTCTTTTTGTGTATTACAATGAATGTAAGTTCAGTAATCATTCGACAGGGCAAAGCAAGCCCTTCGAGATGGCTATTAAGGGTCTGCCAAAATCCACATAATGTTTTGAGCTGAAATCTAATAACAGTCAACAAAGAACCTTTCCGTCAAAAATCATATCCCCGCCCCAAAAATCTTGAAAATTTTTTTATGCTTAGAAATAGAGGAGAAAATGAATATGAAAAATTTGCAAAATCCGCCCCTAGACCTGTTGAGCTCCTCCCAAGCAGGGATGGAGCAGTAGCTCATACACAGAGAAATACGATCATGTTTTTGTAAACATTGTAATTGCCCCCGTAGTTCTCGAGAATGCTGATGTTTAGGGTAAAAACGGCAAAAATTCAGCTTGTGTATTGCTAACGCCAAGATTCTCAGTAGTCGAGCACCTGGTGTTTACAAGGAAAATACGCTTCCTCATCCGTATTGAGTTTGCGCAACACAGATCAAGAACATGATGAAAATTTTGGAATGAAATGGCAGAAAACGTCTTGAAAACCTGAATTTATTAACGACTACGAAAAGCATTCATGGATCAACGTATGCTTTACTGCTCAAAGGCCTTGTTCCACGCTACAAAAGACACAGTTCTGGAAAAGAAGTTAAACTTATTAGCTATTTTGTGCACAAAAAGTACAAATTCTGATTCATTCCACTCTCGAGAAATCGCAGAAGTTTTTCGGGATCTCCAAAGTTTTCATATGAGTTATAGCAGTATTAGGATTTTTGCTCCAAGAAAATATGTTGGTGACAGGGCGGGCAGGGAATAAGGGAAGGCAGGGAAAACATGAGTCTCCATGAAGGCAGAGAAAAAATGATTCTTTCAGCGTCATCTTGCAAGTTTACACATTTACCACTGCGTCATCTATTCAAGCTAACACTTCAGCACGCTTCGGATCGGGGCTGCACATGCTGCGCTGAGTGACTGTCTCTTGCTTCCTACAATTGGTCCTCTTCCAATAATGCCATATATGCCGCACATGCATAGGTACAAATCTACTGCCTAACACACCTTTCTGACCCCAGCTTATTTTGTTTATACCAAGGAGTGGTAGACAATAAACATGCGAATTGGTGCGGTGTTGCGTGAGAACCTTCGCGCAGTTCTTTGGACTGGCTAAACCGCATTTAAACCCAAATGTTTGGAGATAAACAAACACTCATTCTGCAAACAATTTATAGTCTGCATCGCCTTGCGACGGCAAATCGTAACATGCGATGTGCTTTATAGATGTCCAGGCAAGAACTCGATTTTTAGAAAATCCACTTACCTAATTACTACCACTTACCTTACCACTTACCGCAACGCTGAATCTGAAAATCCCAATTAGAAAGCGCGAAAACGGCGATAACATGCGTTTTCCAGAGCTTTACAATTTGAAATTCATCGGTCCCCTTTAAGGCTTGAGACGCAGAGTCGCTGCGGGACCTATGATTTTGACTGTGGCGGCATGCGTACTCTGCCGCAAGCAGGAATCCAAACAAGTCGGAGGACTTCGCCCCAAGTCGTACGTTTCCCCACTTCCCGATCGCTTTTCTTGCTTTACGTCGAACGTTATAGCCTCGTACTTGCGCGATGCTGTGTCTGAGGGGGGCCACTTTCGCATGGCACTGAAATCCCAAAACCCCATCTTGTCCAGACACTGCTTTTGAAGAGAAGCTTCCAAGCAAGCTTGACGTAACGGAAAAACATAGACTGCTGCAGCGCCCACCATGATGAAGCTCTTGCTCAAGTGACAATCAGTTCGGTTCTGAAGCGAGAAAACCGCTTTGCAAGCGGCGCCGCCGCTCCAATCGATAGCAGTGCGTATATCGCACATAGTCAAGAAATAGGGTCCCAACATGACTCTACGTCTTAACCTCAGCGGCGGGCGTCCAAATTTAAAACAAGGGCTTTTGAGTGGCCCATTTACAACATTTTCGTACTCTGCAAGCTGCAATTTCGGAAACATCAATAGAGCTAAGCTCAGAAAAGCGAAAAGATTGTGTTTCAAATCTTGTCTGGACGCTGTCTTTAACCATAGCAGTGTTCGCACGCGCCCGCGACATTTAGCTACGTCACTACGCGCCGAAGCTAAGGCTGCGTTCATACTGATTTCGTAATCCGGGAACAGTCCCAGCACAACGCTCACTTCGAGCGCTGTGCTGGAACTGTTCCCGAACTTCGGGATCAGTATGAACGCAGCCTAATGCACCGCCATATTAACCCCTCTTGATCCACTTGATCCGCTTAATCCGCTTGATCCGCTTGATCCGCTTCTTGCAGGACGCGTGCAAAGCGCGCGCACACGGCAGTCTGTCATTTGGCGCCGCGTACGCCGAAATTGCATCTGCGACCAGCGATAGATTCTCACAGAACGCGAGCTTTTTTCCAGCTTGTTCATGTGTAAGCGGTTTTGTAACTTCGTGTTTACATGCGTAATTTGCTACTACTCAGTATTTGTGTCGTCGTCATGGCGCATGTTTCATCATGCAGCATTTTCAACATAACATCTTTCCATCTGTAAAGACCGAAATATGTCTTTGTAGGGAAACTATCGGATGAAGAATTGTCACGCTAACAAGATAAATCCTTGCATCATGATAACTGAGGTAATTTTGAGGGCTGCTCTAAAGGGTTCAGAAGATATTCAGACGCCGTTTATACTTTGCTTTAAGATATCACTACTAACAGTTATGATTACTTTCAAGTTCCCTTAGCTTTATCGATCTCGTCTACTCACATTAACAAACGATCAAAGCGAATAATGCTAATGTTTGTTGTTTTCGGCTTCGCCAAGCATCATACTGGAATCAATTCCTCTCTTCACCCGGTTTTCCCAGAGTACATTTGCTTGTGTAGGCTAATTTTTCAGTTGTTGTTAGTTGTAGATATATTCTCTTTTCACATATGAGTGCCTTCCTTTTCAACACTTGAATTGTACATCTTAACGTCTTTGAGTTTTTGAACAAAAGCATTTTTCAGGCAGGCTGTATCGAAATCATTCCAGCCACTCATAGTCGCTGACTTTGGAGCACTGCTGCTTTTCTTTCAACGAGTAAGTTTGGCTTTTTTTTAAAAAGCATAAACAGTCTGTCCCAACCAAATCAGTGTTGCGCGTCACCATCAAGGTGCTTCATGTGTTTATAGCTTTACAGAAATTATAAGCCAACGTCTCATCCTGGTCTCATTTGGGACAGGCTGTATCTTATACGACCATGGACTACTCAGATAATCGCCGGGGGCAGGCGGTCCGCAAACTCGCGCTTTTCTGCGGGCGGTCAGCAGAATTTCGGGGAGTGGCCAAAAATTCAGCGGGCGGCACTTCCTTTACGGTCGCATATTCTGCCAGCGAGCAGCAATACAGCATTTTCTGCAAGCGCTCGGCATATAATTTCCTTCAGCGAGCGCTGGCCAAACTTTCAGCAAGCGCTCGCACTCTTTTTACGCAGTTTTGTGCTTACGCCAGCAAAGGTGAACTTTATGTGGCAGAGGTGTAACCTATATTTTAATTACCCGAGTTTGAAGTACCTTCTCTAAGCGAAAGGTACCGATGGGCTGTACGGTCCTTCACAGAGGACCGTGCGGCCCTCCATAATCTTACATATTCTCGCGGAAAGTCCTCGAAAATGCGGCCACTGAGCCGCAACTTATCCATAGAAAAACCGCGATAGTTCTCCGAGCATTCGTCCAAAAATTGGCCAAATTTATTCCAGATTTCTGCAAGCGGCCGCAAAAAATCAGCGAACTATTTTACCGGTGCCCGCTTGCTCAAAATCTGCATGGCCGCCTGCTTCCGGCGATTATCAGAGTATGTGTAAGACAGGGCAGCAAAGGCTCACCTTTCCGGTTTTGGATTACGATTATTTTGCACTTTTTACCGGGTATGAAGCAAGCCAGCAACAGCAGCTAAAGGCTGCTGCATGACTAAGGCTCAGAAGCGCCATTAGTTGAGCGGGCGCGAACGCGGTGCGCACGTACCTCACCGTTGTAAATCCTGCGCCTCATGCGCTCTGTGGCTAACATACCCTCGCTCAGACAATCGCTGGGGGCAGGCGGGCACCGGAAAAATAGATTGCTGATTTCTCGCACCCCGCTCGCGGATTTTTTGCAAAGCAATCAGGACTTTTCGGAAGACCGCTTGCTGAGTCAGCGGATTTTTGAGAGACCGCCTGTTGAATTTTTTCGCTCTTATCTTTTGCAGATATATTGCTGAATCTCTGAGGAATCGAGAAATCAGCAAGCGGTCTTCCGAAAAGTCCTGATTGCTTTCCAAATAATCCGCGAGCGGGGTGCGAGAGATCAGCAATCTATTTTTCCGGTGCCCGCCTGCCCCCGGCGATTATCTGAGCGATACATAGAGTCACGTACTCTGGTAACCGTCACTTTGAGGGCTATGAGGGGACACAACCTTCATCTGGAAAAAAACAGAAGTCATCCGGGGCTTCGCCCTGGATGTTACTATCCTGACTATATCGGAACGTATGCTTATGAAGCAAATATAGGGAATAATATTTTTAGCTTTTAGCAAAACCGAGTTGCGTTTTCATGGCCTTTTTTACATTTAGAAGAAGGTTTCTGTGGAATTTTCGCCAGAATTCAGGACAGAATTTTTCAGTTAACCTCTTATTTGACTAAAAAGAGTTTCAGAAGTTTAGGAAAGCTGTTGGAGTTGAATAAAAACGAGAAACTTAATTCTCGCGCAGAGAAAATCGCGCACGAAGATGCTGGTCTATCTCGTTAATGAGCGATTTTTAAAGCTTGGGTCGTTGTCAGTTCTCCTGGTCGTGTCATGACGATCAGAATGATATATAATGTTGCAGGGTTTCGTTGAGACCCCGCGGAAATCTACGACCAGAGCCAAATGCCCCGTCGGCTCTGGTCTGTCTCCGCTGCTCGTCTGCGTCTCCGCGCTGCGCGCTACCTCGCTACCCCAAACGCGGAGCGCGGGGCATTTGGCTCTGGTACCTTTTCTTCGCTGTTTCGAACCCAAATTTTAGCAAGCTATATATCATTTTGAAGCTCTTAATCTCTATTTTCACGCTGTTAACGTCTTAAAACCACATTTTTTTGATTTGATCAAGAAATCCGGCCAAAACCTTGTTTTCGAAAATCTCTCGTTTTTCTTCTAGTTTAACTCTTTTCACGCTGTTTTTTCGTGCATTCTATAGATCTTGCTTCTGTTCATAATGCAGACAACCACCCAGCCCTTACCTCTTCGATTATGGTGGATTTTGCAGAAAATCGTAAAGAGTGCGTTTTTCTTTACCTTGCTCCGTTTCAGTGCTTTCGCATCGATTTTTTCCAGCTTGGACGATTGTTGCTCAGAACAATAAGCGCAACAATCAACGTCCCAGGAAACAGGAATGTCAATGCGGGGGTAAAAATTTAAAGGACGTCAAAAACAAAACCCGTGTTGCGAATTGCTGGTGGAATGAAAACTTGCACTCCAAACAAAAATGTCAAACCTTATTGCAGCATTTTTATCCGGTTTTCAGCAGTTTATTTTGCTTTTGGATCTGTTTTACGTCATTTTCTCTTCTCTGCTCTTCTTTAAGCAACCTTCACTATTTATGACGTCAGATGACGTCAAACGTCCTCGTCTATAACGTCAAACAACCACCTTCACTTTTGGCGCTTTGTCTCTAGACTATCGAAGGTATGGGTTGTTTCATACTGCCGCAATGACTGCAGCAGTCTGCACTGACCGCAGCAGACTGCAGCAGACTGCAGCGGACTGCAGCTGACCGCACTGACCGCAACGACCGCAGGGCTGAAGCCTGCAGGCGGAGAGGATAAATAGTTGTGCTTCAAACAAACAACAACAACATATACGTAAAAGCAAAAGACAACAAGGTTTAGAATGTTACAAAACAGGTATATGCAATGATAGGAAGAATTAGAACAAATACGAACATACCAAAGAAAACTATCGCCAAAATTTGATTGAGAAGAATTCTGATGGAACTTATGATCTTCTTATGCGCAAATCACGCTGCTTTGATAATCGCGGTTGTTTTTTCTTTTACGAAAAGAGGCTGCGACCGGTTGCGGTCAGTGTGGTCAGTGCTGTCTGCTGCAGTCTGCTGCAGTCAGTGCAGTCAGCTGCAGTCTGCTGCAGTCTGCTGCAGTCAGTGCGGCAGTCTAAAACAACCCTATGGTGGCTAATAAAGCCGCTAGCGCGCCCAAAGGTATTGCGCCTTTGTCATGCAGCAGCCTTTATATGTTTGGTTTGATTTTTTTCCAAAAGCAGCGTACAGATAGGATTCGGACAATGAGCTGTTCTTCTGGGCCTTGTCCTGAATTGAGGAGTGGCTGTCTACACCCGAATGTCCAAACCGACACGAACCTCCTTTAAAATCGCCCGCGACTGCGTGCATCTCATGGGCATGGCTCGGCAGATTCGCAATTATGTTGGAAAATACGGAGCCACATTATTGCCGAGTCACTGCCCTTGGCACAGGGTTAGATTGAAAAAAGCGTATAGGATCCTAGTAGTCCTGGCGCGATTCCCATCGGAAACACAGAAGAAGGGAACGCGGGGGCGCAGTAGTTGATGTTGCATGCGGTCGGAGGCCGTTCTCCCGGAGGTCTATGCCGGAAATGCACTTCATTACAAGGACAATTATGAGCACAGCCTCATTAGGCACGCACCAGAATTCATCTACCCCATTCACTTCATTCGCTTCGCTACTGGTCAGTTCACTGATTTGACTAGTAGCGGATCAAGTGGATAAAGTATGGCGGTGTGCCAAATGTGCCTCAAATTGTGTATCGCTCAAGTCGCTCTTTTTAGTCAAGGAACTCCAAGAAATGTGGAAGTTCTTACGGGCGAAATTCTTCAAAGCAACCAGTGGGAAACGAGTGGCTCTTCAGCGAAGACCGTAGAATTCATGAAAAAAGTAACGTTTCTCGAAAATATAGCAATCCATACCGAAGGATGAGCTCTGTTCAGAAATGGAAATTCGTATAAAATGCAAGTCCTTTTAACAAATATACAAATTTCGACCGCGAGCTCAATATGGACTCAGCAGAATGCCACCCATCGAGTAGGTACAGTTGATTCGTCGACCGCACGGACTGGACATCACTGCAGCACGCGCCGCGAGGTAAAAGCTTGCCCCAGTACAAATTCGCCATCGTACAAGTCGTGCTCTCGCAACAATTCAGCTGCGCCGCGCGCGTTCCGCAGCGTTTGAGCGGTCAACGAATCGACGATACTTCGCGCTAAATTTCACAATAGAAAAGTAAGATTTTAGCGTCCAAGGTCCCATCAGTCCCGGTGCTAGGCGATTTGAGCAACACCATTTCTTTATTGTCTTCCCAAAAACGAAAAAGAAAGTTGTCAGATGACGGTACGTGTTTTGGTACATAATACAAGATACGGTGGTGCAGTGTTTTTCCCCTAAGCAATTGCTTTTCCAGAGTATGTTGAATACCTACATCGGTTGGTCTCCTTTTCTTGTCTACTACGTTAATGGCTGTATTTAGGTAAATACGTGGAAGCGTCATTGCGTCGCCTTTCCGATGAAGAAGCAGACCGCAAGATCTTAAACATAATGGCCATATTTGCGAACGTTAGCATAAGCGAAAATCTCGACTACCGCTATAGTCCAGCACCAGCTTACCAGCATCAAATCGCTAGTTGTTCCACGCTTTGTATTCTTTACTTGACATAACATTCCACGCAATGATGTTCATTTTCAACACTATTTGCATTTTACTCCACATTGTTAATAGAAGACTTAGAAAATGAGTGGAGGTTTTTGTACGCCGTACTTCCGTTCATTTGGAGACACCTTTTTTTGAAGTTGGATAGAGTTTAATGATGTAATAAATACGAAGTGCGTGTTTTTTTGCCATTATTGCAGTTTTTATTGAGCTTGTGTGAGGCAGTTTTGTTGTAAGTCGCATGCCGCCACCGAACGTTCAAATGATTTAACCTTTCCATAGGAGCACAGATCAGCCAATAACCTCTCGACAACCTATTGATTTATTCAATTTTTGCACTCATTTGGCGTCCAACAAATTTGCTCTGTAAAGTCTCCTCTTTTCAAGTGTGATGAATGCTGGTTGCGCTGCCTGTCAAGATTTACAAAGTAAGACCTAGATTCTCCTTTTGAGATGAGAGGCACATATTTGGAATCAGGTTTGAACGCTGATTCCAAATACGCTGTTCCTAGCTGCTTAGCTATATTCCAGAGCGAGTTATGGGCTTGCTGTTGTGAGTAATGAATAAACTTCTGAATATCGTAAGACGGCGTGTAGATAAGAATTTACTCGAAAAAAGTGCTAGGATGTTGAGCCAAGATTAGATTAATTTTTTCGATCTTGAAAGGGAGCATTATACAATTGCAAAACCACCTAGACTTCTACAACGTAGCATCATTAGGTCGAGGAGCACGCAAACTTTGCATAGAAAAGTGACCATAACTATGTCGCTAAGCAGCCAGGAACAGCATATCCGAAATCACCTTTCCAAGCTGATTTCAAATATATGTGTCCCATCTCAGAAGGCGAATCTAAGGCCCGTATGCACGTACATCCCTGCGGGGAGGGGAGGGGATCTGAGAGGGGAAGCGTCATATCTCGCTAGTCTTTATATCTTTCTTCTTTTTTCTCTCTCTTGCTTTTGAAGGTTCTCATACACTGATACCTGCGCATAACGGATGCCAGGTTACTGCCATACCAGATTAGATATTCACTATTTCGTCTGATCCCCTGGGGATCCCCAGGGGATCATTTCACATTTTCAAAGTCCTTTATCTTCCTGAAAACTCAATGAAAATGCTCTAGAATTGTACTGAGGATATACTACAGCAGTGCCAAACGTGATTGTGGTAGAAACGAGTAAAATTTCAAGACATCAAAATCTTCGATGAACCGCTGCTCGCGAGCCAAGGATTATCGAAAAAATCAAAACCTTCAAATTCCATTTCTTCTGTCGAGAACATGCTCAGCAGTATCGTAGTATATCTTCAGTACATTTTGCAGCGTTTTCATTGAGTTTTCAGTAAGATAAATGTCTTTGAAAATGTGAGGTGATCCCCTGGGGATCCCCAGGGATCAGACGAAATAGTGAATATCTAATCTGATATGGCAGTAACCTGGCATCCGTTATGCGAGGGTATCACTGTATGAGAAACTTCATAAGCAAGATAGAGAAAGAAGAAGGAAGATATGTAGATTAGCGAGATATGACGCTTCCCCTCTCAGATCCCCTCCCCTCCCCGCGGGGATGTGCATACATACTGGTTTAAGTTAGTATCCTTCCCTTGTTAGGAATACATCTGTACCCCAGATACTGAAAGGTAACAAATTACTTGGAAGGCGATTTACGTTTATTCGATAGAAAAAATAGCGTAGTGATAGTGTGCGAAAACAATAGTTACTTTCCGTAATAATCATTCGCGTGCGGGGCCATATTTCTGCGTATAGTACAGAGTGATTCTTTCTCTTCAGCCGTTTTAGCTGCAGCAGCACCCCCGATCATAGTTCGTTCAACTGAATGTAGTGTGCTCTCGTCTGGCGCAAATCGTCGAACATCTTGCAAAAAGTCTTATCTTCTTGGCAAGAGGTTGTGTAATGCCTATAAAACATAACTAGAATACAAGTAGTATGTGCAAAGATTGAGCTAACCAGCAGCACCTTGATTATGCGTCCTGCTCTGGACGGATTCACTTGCATTGGATGCATTAAAATTTGAAATCTTCGGGCTAATATACCGAATGTGGACTCGATCATTCGTCGTGCGCTGAAAGCCTTGAAATAAGAGGTATGCCAACCTGGTATATTAGGCATAACAACCTGCTATGCTTTTCATTGAACCGCCTTTTTTCCGAGGTATTGGCCTCGGCATCTCTGTAAGGACGCACAAATCGCAGATCTTGTCCGAATCCTCCGTCAACGAGGATATGGTACTGGACCGGTTCCACTTGTCCAAGATCCTTCGTGGGCGGAAACACGCGATCATTGGCGTCTACAAACTCCTGAAGCATCATTTTCAAGTACTTCATTTGTCACAACATTTCGCCCACTTTATCCATGAGCTTCGGTAGACGGCTGCGTCTCCTGCACGACCAACGGAACCAACATCGTAAAGTAGCACGCGGTAGTCATGGTCACAAACGGCGAATAAGACGATTGAATAAAAGTTTTTTATAGTTCCAGTATGCACTTCCAGAGTGCTCCGGTTTCTTAAATTCGTTGCTACTCGGAACGGTTCTTCCCCTTGATCAGTCACCTCATATCTAACGTGTTTTCCGTCCATGAAACCGCAGGCCCTTGGGTAATCCAAACGGGCCTGCGTGACGCGCGCTACTTCTTCAAGTTTTTCTCTGGTCACGGTAGGGAATGCAATGTCATATAGTTCTATAAATTGAAGATTCCCCATCACCTTTATAGAATGTTGGCGTTATCTGTTCTCAAAGAATTTTTACCGCTTGTGATCGCCTCTGTAACTTCGGCCACGATTACTGAGATTGTCTCCATCACAGCAGGCGTCCAGTGCAAAGGCTGAAAACGTTTCACCGATGGCAACGAATCTGGAAAAAGCCTGCAATTGCTGCTGATGCAGTGCTGTCCTGTTTATACCTCAAAAAAGAAAATCATTAGCCTTTGACGGCCTTTGATGGGCCCGGCATGCGTTCGCGAATGCATGAGCTTCGCTGCTATGCATTGATACAGATCTTCGAATTCGTTTGGGAATACCCTTGCGAATTGCATAAATGCGGCAGGCCTCTGCGCGGCAAGGTATTCATCATAAAGACGAAATCGAGTTTCGAGGAATGGTGCGTGTTCTCTGCGCACGTACTCGCTCCGATAATATGGTCTCTGCACCGCGTTTGTAATGGCATCGTCGAGCACGACAAGTGCAATTAGAACGTCACGCCACTCTTGATAGCTCATTCCTGCAAAGGCAGGTCTCATTACAGAACTCACTGACACTTAGTGAAATTTATAGGACACTACAAGTGGCACCCTAAATGCTGTCTAGTTGTAGTTTTTAGATAGTATTGAAATGATGAAAGTAATGAAAGGCGATAGCTTCACAATTATCAAAGAATGTTTTACTCTTCTCACCTAAAAAGCTTTCCAGAAGATTGGAAAGGTTTTAGAGATGCTCTGTAAAGTGTACATCTAAACGGCTGCGACCATGCTTTATCCTTCCCTCATTCAGGTGGACGCGAACACGGCGCAACAGCTAATAGCCACTGCAAGTGCACAGCGCCTTATGTGGCGTCTGAGAAATCGCGCAGTTCTCAATCTTCCGCCTCCGTACGGCATTAAATTTTGGTAAAACCGAGAAAACTACCTGCACGCTCGCTTTTCAGTGTGGACCTTCCAAGCGCGAAGATCTGCTTTTGAAAGAGCTGAGTTCAAATTGTGCTTTGCAACTCTAGAGAACGTCAAAAACTAGCTTGACACGGAGAACTATTAGAATAGCGGAATGAGTCGCGCGTCTGACAACTATTGGCTGTCATAGTTTGAGTGAAGACACCACCTAATTTTGGCGAGACACTGCCTCCGTAGGTTGTAAATGGCGACACCCCCTAGCACGAATTAATGTAGCGTTAAAAGAACTTACTCATCGGAGCAGTTCCTACACCGTGTGCTGGAAGAATGTTGCAATGAGACAACATGACTTCGTTTACAGATTTAGTACCATGTATTGATAACTGACAGGATTTCATTTTTAGCCAACAATATCAATCGGCAAAGAATTAATATGTAAATGCGGCGTAGATAAGGACCTACTGTCTCAGCAACTTTCACACTGCTAGTTCGCTTGAAAAAAAAGCTTGAGCATCGAATGCCAAAGGATAGGTAACGCTAAGATGCGCATATACTACATGTAGAATATGCGCATATGTAGCATATACTACGCATATGCTACATATGTGAATGACATCGTATTCAAGAGAGTACCACGAACAATGCGATGAGCTTACATGTGAGAAAATAACTCCTTCGTGCAGCAGCAGAGGTGTTTCAGCGCAGCAGATATGAATAATAACGATATGAATACAAGATAAGACTCGGCAGCAGGGAAAAATCTTAAACATTGGCGTTTTGCAAGTGATAGTTAGAAGACGGAACAGTATGCAGCTGTACTAAGACAAAAGGCCGCTGCCAGCTGACAGCTGCTATTCCCCCAAAAATATGGAGCTTCATTCGTTTCATATTGCTGATATAACTTGACGCTACTGTTCGCTTGCGTCCTTTGTGGAGGAGCGCACAGTACACAATCATTGCAACAAGATTTCACAACACGTAATTCACAATTATTTCACAGCCGCCCAACATACTGCCTTGTAGTATTAAGATTCCCACTGCATCGATGCCATGTCCTGCAGATCAGTCACATCAACAATGTATACAAAAATGACACCATGCATGCATACACACCTTTAGTAGAACAGTAAATTTGTTGAAGCGAAGAAAAAGATGATAACCATCTACCAAGAGACTATAAGACAATCTGACGCATCTGAAATAGATCTTTTCCAAATGTGAGCATAGCGTGAGTGTGAAAAACTCACTGTTTGTCTCCTCCAACTAGTATGCACATCATTCTTAGCCGAAAACTTCATGAGAAAATCATAAATCAACGACAACAGCAATCTGAACAAAAACGAAGAAGAAGCTGGTAAACTTAGGACTGCAAGTAAGAGTTTGGAGAGTCCAAGCAGTGATATATAGCGAAGAACACTCGATTACCTGACAACCACAGATTCTGAGCTAATGGGAAAACACAGCATTCAACACCGGCTATGAACATCTAGTCCGGACTTTGGTGGTGCACAATCAACCTGAAACAATGATTAAATCGCATTTTTAAAAATGAAAAACATACTCTCTGCAGATGGAAAAATGTTATGTTGTAAAATGTTGCATGATAAAACATGCGCCATGACGAATTGACACAAATACTGAGTAGTAGCAGATTACACATGTAAACACGAAGTTACATAGCGATGGAAACCGCTTACATATGAAGTTGGGAAAAAGCTCGCGTTCTGTGAGAATCTATCGCTGGTCGCAGATGCAATTTCGGCGTACGCGGCGCCAAATGACAGACTGCCGTGTGCGCGCGTTTTGCAAGCATCCTGCAAGAAGCGGATCAAGCGGATCAAGCGGATCAAGCGGATCAAGCGGATCAAGCGGATTAAGCGGATCAAGTGGATGAAGAGGGGTAAATATGGCGGGTGCCTAAATGCCGCAGGCGCGACGTCGCATGACCAAGGCCTTTAATATCCACTATCACGTGTGACGAGAAGCAAGCATAAAATACATTGGTTTAAGTTAGCAAGTTGTAAAGTTGTCACGCTTCAACAATTGATAGATGTTCTGCACTGATTGGAAGTTTCAAAAACAGGTAACAAATTACTCTATTTGTGGTAGGATACACGTCTAGTCCAGTAAAAGCTTACAGCTGAGCAATACATTAAGCAATCTATTGCATCTCCTAAATGGATTCACCCAGAAACATTCTATTAGGTTGTCCGGAAAATAATGTCGCATCATGTTTTATCATGCAATATCGCAGCACTGTACGCACGAAAGTAAGTATCGTCGAGTCATTCGTAACTTAATATGCGTAGTGCACACTTTACACGTTAACCTGACAAACAGCGGAACTAGAACCTGCTCATTTCCAGTGATTTCTTCTTGTTTTCTTGTTTCTTTTATTTTAGTTGGTTATACGATAGTCAGTAGAACGCATTTCTACATTTTGTTAGGCTAGAAGATGTTTTACTCGGAAGTTACTAGTGTGAGTTCCGTCGCTAATAGAGCTTAGTGTGCAATCTCACATATTAAGTTACAAATGACTCGAGGTTATGTGGGATATCAACCGATAGATCAGAGCAAACTCTACAAAATGCAGTGCGAACCTTCGCGCCATGTTTGATATGCGTGAAGTTTGGAGGGTGTAGGCCCTTTTGAACCCTTCGCCGCGACACTCGCCTCGCCGCGTGCGGCGCCGCTGGCAAAGCTAACAAGTCGAATTTACAATCAACGGGAAAATTCTTAGTTCGAAGTATGTAATATAGTAGATACCTGTGCCAAATCCTATCATCATGTTGGACACGAAAGATGTAACGAAAAAATGAACGAGTATTAACTCGTTATGGCAGTGGACATGTTGACCAATCAGAGGCGCGCTGTGATAGCGAGCGGTTCAAAAGGGCCGTTTCCCATTTGGAGCCAAATTTCATGAGGCACTAAAGATACAAAAAATCGAAAAAATCTTATCTTTCTTCAGAAGCCTTGGGAACCCCTGACTTTCTCACGCATGGACACACTATAAGAGACATTCGTATGCACATTTTCGCGGTTTTTTCGTGGCTGAAAATTGAGAAAATGAAATTCGGCATATTTTTGCCAAAACAATCCTAAGCTTCTCTCACATGGGTGATTCTGTAGTACGAAGCTTTAGAAGTATAACCATATAGCTTTAGACAAGCCCTAGTTTTCGAGAAAAACCAAGTTATTTGAAAAAAAAAACCGAAAAACACGACGACTCTGCACTTTTAGCCTATTTTTGTTTGTCGTACTGTAACCGTGGAAAATTACCCTATTTTCAGGTGTATAAGCCGCACCCTTTTTGCTCTAAACACGAGCAGACCCAGGCGTGCCGCCGCGCATATGTCTCGTGCAGCGGTCGCCTTATCGCATACTGCTCCCACTTAACGCGCTCCATATCGACAGTCAGTCTTTTGGCGTGTTCGCCTTTAGAGCGAAAAGGGTGGGGCTTGTACAGCTGAAAATAGGGTACCACAAACTATACAGGCGAATGTCTAGTGTGGAGAGTACATGCCTGTGCAAATTGGAAATTACTAGCTCCTATTTGCTACTGTTTCTAACTGCGTTCTATCTGCGAGTTATGGTACGATACTTGCTTTCTGTGAAACTTGTTTTTTCATCGTGAATGATGTTTCTCGCCGCTGTGTGGTTTTCATTGGAAAGGGTTTGTTGACAAAAGACCTTTTTTTTTTGAAACCTTGTAAACTAATCTTTTCACTTAGTCACTTCTTTCAACTGAATCTCCATTTGGTCTAAATTGAACAGATGCGAGGCTAAATTGCTTTTGCATCCAAAACGTAATCTTGCGTAGCAGCTATGAGCAGCTGGAGGCAGGGGAACAGGGTGATTCGTCACTGTTGTTATTCCATGGTCAAGCATGTATAGAGCCTAACAATGAACATGTATATCACGATGATAAATATAATATATGAATAACAATTTATAGAGAAGCCAACTACTAGAGAGTTCGTGACCAATACCAGCATCATTCATTGCCAGTGTACCCTACCAGAGCACCGGAAAGAAGCCGAACGACTACGGAATGGTTGTTGGAGTTGTTGCTATGACGGTAAGTGTGCACATCACATCTGCTTTATCACTTATTTTCTTTTGTTTTTCAATTCATATTCTTTGTTTTTTTTGTGGAAAGAGATTGCCTCGGCATATCTCTAGGTTTTTTCTTTATGCGCAACACGTGTTCTAGTTCCATATGTTTCCCTCAGCATATCGAAATGACATGCTCGGTTCTTCACGTGATACCCCTTCTGTAATGCTAGTAATGCGTCTTGTTTTGCCGATACGATTTAGTGTGATATCCCACTTGTGGTTTTGGGGACTGATTGGACGTTTTGGACGTTTCGAGGACGTTTTTTGATTGGAGAACCGGGAGGAAATCAAAGTTGCAGAACCGATCGTGGGCCATATCTTTGCAGTCTAAGTGGTTGCGTTGTTCACTACGAGTGTTACTTGTTGTCAACCGGGCTAGTGATTGCCAAAACCGATGTATTCGGTTACTAACATGTACCGTTTACTAACCGTATACATCGTTGATAACTTCCGTAGTCATCAACACATGGAGACCCAACAATATACCTTTTGTCATTTCAAGTGTAGTCGTGCATTCTCGATGTGTGGGAGTTATTGTCAAGTATCCATAGCTTTTTCCGATGCTGGCTGGGATGGTACGGATGGCCCAGCCCTCTGACATCTGAACTCGGTGAGAATCTCGTTTCTCCACTTGTGGGGTACTGGTGTTTTTATAGTCATTGTCGACGGTCTATCACTGAATTTCCGGGTTACAGTGCAAGTCCGCGCTACACCTCTTTCTCCGCGTATTTCGGCCATACGCAATTCGTTCATGTGCAGCGTTGACATCTGCACATAAGTTGGATACGTACCTATTGGCCTGAAAGTATAAAAGGAAATGATCTTGTTTGTTAGGGTGCCTGAACATGCTAAGGCAGAAACTTACAAGTTTAGTTCTTTAGGACAGTACAACCTGTCCAGTGAGTTTTTGGACTCACACCAACTGGTCCCTCCATAGGGACTTGTGTGGGACAAGTCATCCTGGAACTCCCGTTGCAGAATTATAGATTTTAACTGGTTATGCGCCGGGCTTCCAATTGGTATCACCGGTTTGTCTCTACCGTCTTCCTCCAGTGCTTCGTGAGCACAGCTAGTGAGCGGCCCCGTATCTGCATCCTAAATTATGTCCTTCCCTGTGCTGCTGTTTTATAGTTGACCGCACGGAATCGTCCGGAATGAGCACCTGCGTGCGTGTCTCTTGCGGGCTAACATTGGGCTCGTACTCGGCAGCCGTTGCAGGCACGCTCGCATGCGTTCAGCCTACAGCGATCCGGGCAATTTCGTGCAGGCGACTTTACCTGATTCCATGAGTGACAGTCGGCCACGTGATAAAGACAGGTATTGAATACCTGTCTTGTCAACTCGGGATTTTCGGTGCTTGCTCCCTGCCGTACCGCGTAGTACAAGTGTGCTTTGAGTGGGGTGATCCACTCTTTCAAACAAACGGAGTCTGCGTTTGGCTGCCTCAAAATCTGTTTCATAGCTTGTGTGCGGTCCGAGACAACTTACGGGGAGTGGGAGGGGACGAGGGATTTTTTTTCAATGAATTGCCATTACGACATCGGAAGTATTCAAGATGCTCTGATTTATGAAAAATCATTACATCAGTCCATAATCTTGATATAGAAGTTTCGCGTTCCTCCCCCCCCCCCCTCCCCTCCTTCTACACCTCCTCTACTATCCCTAGCTTGTACCACTGCTCATAACCTAATCCCAGCTACTTACCGCACGGATTTTAGCACTCAACCGCTTGGCGATATGCCATGTATCCAGAAGCCATGTGATGTTGGTGGCGTTCTCAGAATTGAATGCTCGAATCTCGCTCCCGTATGTGGTACTCCGATCTGTGGAGATTGAGCGTATGCCGATATTTTTGGAGCGGAACCAACGCAAAAGGCGTTTAAAACCTTCCTTCTCCATTCTTACACTATTATGATCTAAAGTAATACCAAGAACCAAGTATAACCAAGAACTCAAGAAAACATCAACTTCCGCAATGACATCATCATGACAGTTAATGTAGCCCGTAGTAAATTTTCTCCCGGGTAGTTTTCTCTCAACTCGCCAAAGTTAGTACTATGGTATTGCCATCGGTATTTATACAAATGCCTTGACTGGGATCAAATCACAAAAGGCGCTAATGTTGGAAATGCCATGCTATGGTAAGAAAACCGTCATCAAATACGGAATTTTAAAGAAGGAATTGAGATATTTCAGAGTCGTCTACACCATGAACTCCATGAACTCAATGAAGCATGGAACTAGGCTGCTGCGAAAATCGGATAGTGGTCGGCCTCCCTGGAATCACTAAGGGATTTGTACAAAATGCATAAGCAAACGTTGTACATAAATAGAACAAATATTAAGTTCAGTGAAATGTTTAGTTTTTCTTTGTGCAAAAGTGGATCTAGTCAAAGAAACACACATTTTTGTGGTTGATCAGCATAGAGCAAATGAGACTCTGCTCTCAATGACACTTCATTACATTCGAAGAAGAAGAGAAATTCTGTTAGAGTACTTTTACCGAACGGAAAGCAGATATCAGAGTATTTGAACTTCATGAAAGATTTTCAATACAAATACCAGTTGCTCTACCTTATCAAGACATAACTAGGCTAGGTAAAGCCTACCTTGGATAGATAGAGTTATGTATCGATTAATCACGATTAATCAGGCAATATGTGATAAATCCTTGACCATTATTTCGCCAACAGACTGGTGTGGTAACTTTGGCGTATGAAGGTTATTAGTTGAAGAATCGGAAATTGCAGAATCGTTTAACTTTCTTGTTAGATATTTTTTGCAACAGGGGTGAGTCATATCCTGCTCAGATTCAATACAACGACTGATGCACCACACCATTTTATTAGCAGAACTTCAGCCGGTAACAACGAAAAGACATTATTTCTCATATTTCATTTCTCTTACTCAAGGAAAAACGGGAAGGAAGTATGGAAAATGAGGAATGGCAATTGAACGTCAATATGGATGGCCAGTGCAGCCTCTCATTTATGCTTCTAACTTCCTAATGTGCAGAATTCTGAGGACAATTCGTGCTCAGATATGAAATGGGATTTTGAATCAAAACTTGAGAACGTACAAGTAAAGAAAAGTAGGAAAGCGAAAAATCACAATCAGAGATTCGATACCATATAGATCCTCATAAATATTCTTCGTAAATTGAAGGCGATGATTGCAAGGGGTCGAAACATCGGGCTAGTATCATGCTTTCAAGGCAATACCAAATGTCTCCGAAAAGCGTTCCGTAACAGTGGTGCGGAGACCGAGTCTAAAACCATAATTCATCATCAAAAAAGTACATCTGTAATTATCAGTACAGTCGTGTAGATCCTTCGGTAAAACAGTACCCTTGCGGTGCTGCGATTCTGGGATAAATTTTGCGCGTAAACGAATAGTCACGCCTGAAGTCAACATTTACAGGCGTAGCTATTTGTTCAGGCAAAGTTTATCGATGTCAGCACCACAAAAATACTAGATAACAAATACATTTAATTGTAAAGTGTTACAGCATGGAAATAATTATGTTCAGAGCAGTTTGCGCATCAACACACATCTTTGGTGATCACAACAAGGCATGAAACATCAAAGTTGCAAAAAGTATGAAATGACACTGACCGATCACCAATCAAAACAGGAGACAAACAAATAGAGCAAGCTATAAAACAGCGGTACATCAAGAGAAAAAACATAAAACCCACTTCTCAGCTATTTATGTCACCTTCGACATGAAGTCGCGAAGACGGATCGATGCATGGCACAGTATAAGAAATAGCGGGAACAGCAAACTAAAAAGTCAAAGCATATAATCACTTTAAAACAGGCAGAACTTTGTCAGTAGAAGCTATGCACACCTGCATAAAACGGTGAGAACGATGGAAGAACTGGGTGAAGAAGTAGCAGGCTAGAATTATGCCACGGGTGATGAGTGGATGATCGCGACGCGTCTGAATCGCTATACCAAAAGTTTTAATTTTCTGAGTATTTGATAATACTAAAGACATAAAAGTGAGTTTAGTGATTGTAACGAGGAAAATACAAGAGCAAAGTACATAAAACTATTCGAAAATAAATAAGTGGGTGCAGGTACTCTGACATCACAAACAATCACAACACAAAAAGCATTCTCACCCCTTGGAGACTCAGGCACTAATTTCAGATATTCTCAAAAATGAGTAAAATTCGATCTGACCAACCTGGTAGAACAATGGAGTCTCGGAAATAGCGAATACCACGATACCCACAACCAGGACTATGGCCCAGCAACCCCCACGATCTACGAATATACGGCTCAAAAGCAGACAAGTTTCTAATAATCTAATAATCTATCTACTTTAGGAGATTTCAAACTTTAGTCAGTGGTTAGAGAATAGATCAACTTGCAAAAAAAATGCGAGAAATTGAACCGAAACTAAACCGAAGCTGAACAGTTCTGCCCTACGAGGCTACAAGTGACGCGCGTTTTTTAGCGGCGAACATACTTGTCCGCACAAGACGTTAGGGGAGAGAAAGGAGGAAGGGGAGCGGCGCTTGGCCCGCCCCCCTGGCTTGCAGAGTTCATATTTTCGGCTCGGAGTTGCTGTTTTGCTTCACTTGGAGGGCCTCCTACCCGCACGTATCAAAATCTGAGGTGGGTCATTTTTGCCCGTACGCTGCCTTTAAGTCCAAGGTTATCAAGTCAAAGGCCTAAGCTTCTACTTTTCAAATGACTCTGTGGAGTTGTGCCGCCGATATTTGCTTAGAAGATATGACCACAAATCGAACAACAGTTGCAACGAAGTGCGGCAACGCGAACGACGCGTGCGACGTCGCAATCTTCCTTTTCTTCGATATCAAGGAGAAAAAAAATAGTTTTAATACTTATGTGTACCATCTACAACATAGATACTTTTGGATACTATTAGAAACTGAGTTCTTGTTCCTATCTTTGAGGAAAGCACAGAAGTCCTTCACAAACGACAAAATTTGAACACTTCGAATCCATTCAGAACTTTGGGTATGGAACTTATCTGACAAGCTGATTACAGATGTAACACTCAATCTACAAAATAGGGTCTCTTTGTTGGCTAATAGCGAAAAGTGCACTCTTTTTCGCCGCTCGCGATTTCGCGGTCCCACGTGTTAAGTTACCTGCCTCGTGGAACAATGCCTTCCCGAATAAGTTGAAAATTTTTGGCTAAAATCACGCAAATCGTCATATACAATACACCTACAGTAATTTTAAAAAGCAGTCGAGGAAATGGGAAGTTTTTCTAGGGTGAGAGCGTAACAGAAATCTATAGCGAATAAACACAGTAGTAGCCATGTTGACAAATTCAAGCCATGCCCAGCATGTGGGTCACATTCCACGGTGGCAGTCATTGCATGACCCAAAATTTGTTAAATAATTAGCTATTTTGTCTTTATCTATATTCGATCCCGATCATTTGAAAAATGTGAAAAGTGTACCTACATTGACTGGTCCCAAATTCACTGTTTTTTTCACCTTTCATTGCATTATCAGTGATGCAAAACCACGACTTACGACAAGATTACACTCTATTTTCTAGTACTTTGATATTATCACTTTTACAGCCGATTAGTGTCTACCTTTTGAGGAAAAAGGACCAAAATTATTAATGACAATGCTAAACATAAGCCCTTGTGCTTACCTTTTGTATTTGCGAATAGATTTGGATCAGCATCTTGCAAGCTAGAAAGAAGTAGTCAATGAGGTATGTACGAAACAATAGGCTTGGTAAAAAACGATAGATTTTAGGAAAGTTGTCAAGTTGAAAGTGCAAATTGAAAAAATTTCCGAAAAGCCTAATAGCACGTTAGTTTAGAGGCAAGAACAGCAAAATGGTTCCTTCTCGGGTGCAGATGTTGGAGATAGTGCCTTCTAGCACAGTGCAGCTCCAGTGCTACTCTCTAACCCATGCTTAAATATCAAAAGGCATTCTACAAAGTTACCCCAACCGCGCAACTCATTGAAAGAGATTTCAGAGGTAAAACATAGGAACATGCTTGTAGTATTATAAACGCATGGGTTGAAATGCGGAATACAATCCGACAATATCTGTAGCCTTTTCAAATTCTCTTTGACTTTTATCGCTGCTACACTAAATGTTGAGTTGAAAAAAGAGATGCCAATCAGTTGACTGCCTCTTTCCATTTCCTGGCTAACTGATAACGTTACCAAATGAGATATGAATGACCTTACAACCGCGCTTCCATCTATCTCGCGATGTACACTTTCGTTCTTTCCTTCTATAAGGATATTGCCAAGTAAAGAAAGTATTTTTAGCTATTGTTACACAGATATCTTACTGATGCGATTGTTTATGAAAAAACCCTTCTTTTCCAGTCTTGTTACTGTATGATGATTTTTGCAATGTTCTTGATCTCCTTTTTATTTGCAAGAGGTACCTCTGAGGCGGATGGAGATATGACAGATTATTTCTACGACGCAGAATTTCGGTCATTAATTCAGGTAGGATGCACAAATCCAATTTAAATATAACATTATTTTTCACGAGTCTACCACGATCCAAATTACTTACATGCTTTCAATATGCTTTTGACCAGATGCTTCGCTCTGCACTTTGTTTTTCAAATCGCCTTTCCTTTCCTTCTTTTATTCAGAATGATGACGCAGCCATTTACTAGCAGGTGCCGAAAAGGACGCACCTCTAATATAGTTCCTTACCACCAGAACGAGCAAAACCTCGCAACGTTTTGTGGCTTCCAAACCTTCCAAAGTAAAATTCCAATGTTAGCATATACAATCCGAAATGGGGTAAAGCAGCCAATTATTGGCCTCACTTACGAATGCAATAATTCTCTCATTCAGAGAGGAATCGTTCGTGCTACCATAGAATGCTTCATGAATAAGATTAGTTCGTTGTAAAGAATCGGTAGCACATATAGGCGACTCAAAGCATGCAAAGAATTAGAACGTTTCGTCGCCCTTTGGATCGAGAGCTCTTTCGTTTCTCTCACCACCATTGTCTCGTACACACGAACTACCTCATAACGGAACCCATGTTTATCCGGAGTGACTTTTCAAAGATATGTATACCGTATTGGAGAGCATGAAACGCTGAGTCCAAACCTGCTTTCTTATCTAAGGAACGCTCATGGACGAGAAGTTATGAGCTTTTATTGAAGAAAAAAATCACATGTGCAAAGAAGCCAAAAATTGTCATAATATTCCTCCTAGCGCTTTAATGAACCAGTGGTGAGTATCGCAGCACTTTATTCAATAAATACTCTTGGATAAAGAAATATAATGCTCTTTGTCGCTTCATTTGGAAGTTAGTAAGATTTTTGCAACTCACTTTATCTTGAATACACATCTAATTTTTTGCTCAAATGAATGCTCATAATTTCTTGTACAAAAATGCCCCGCAAACAAGGAAAACGGACTCGGAATCGGCGTTTCATGCACTTTAATATGATGTACGTCTCAGCTGAAAGGCCACTTCCGTCAAACATGGTTCCCTTATTAGCGTGTCATAAATGCCGTGTGCACCTTTGAAACACTCTACTAAAAATGTGCCAGACAAAATTTTACGCAAAAAAGTTAGTGCCTTGTCAGTAGTAGGATCGCTGCAATCAGTGACTTGAAAGGAGGAATTTTTTGCTGTAAACACCAAATGGGCGTATGTCAAAGATCGCCGTAACTTTGATATGCGATTAATTTCTTTTGTGTCATTGACTATGCTTTCCTATGAGAAATGTAAGCCTTTTCGTAGAAGTCAGTAGTCAAAACTACTCTTTTACAGTCAAAAATAGATGTACAGAGTGTCCCAAAAGTATGTATACACACTTTGATCACTAATCTCAATTTACTAGAAGTCCTTATCTGCCTTCAGGTACCATTTTATAGAGCGCACCTTAACTCAGATTTACAGTATGTTTGCATTACGGAGCAAATCAACCATCTTCGTTCACTACTGTAAGATTACGGTAGCCTACTTCAAGAAGAGTTTTGAGCCATTGAGAGCCCTGTTTCGCCTTAGAAAGCAAACCAAACAACTCTTACAGTAGGCCAATTACAGTCGCTAGAACCACATATGAACTTCGCGTTTGACCGTGATGCTTCCTTCATGACTTATGCCCCTTAAACTGTGATAGCTGTTTTTGCGATGCTCCCTAAAACTGCAGTCATATCCGAAAGCTTTTGCAGAATCCTAGAAAATTAAGTAATGAAATTAGCACGCGTAAAATCCCTGATACACCACTTTTCAGAATTTTCGGCAACTTTCTTTTGAATCACAACTAATCCATAATGACGCTGTAAGCCAAGTTCCTTCCAAGATTTTACAGTATCGAAGAGCGATCGGCGGTTCGTTGCACACTACAAGTCTAAGTTGAAGCCAGCCCTACAAAATGGTACTTCAAGGTAGGCAAAAGACTCCTTGGGAAGAGAGATATTAACGATCAAACAGAATATATATTAGGTTGCTGCATAAGTTCTGTCCGATTTTTTTGCCTTATGTTTGAAGCAGATGTTCTAAGAGAATTTCATCTCTGATGCGGTGTTGTTAGTATCATTAGAAAGTGCTTTTCTTGCGCTTTCTATATCAAACATCAATAAATTTTTTAGTGTAAGGAGATTTCAGGCCTAAAGTCTCCAAGTAGCCGAGGCACGTTCTCACCCTAAAAATACGCTCTTGCGAAAAATCTCCACAATGCGCCCTTCAGATCAAGTTTCTTAATCGGGTGCGAATAAAGGTGTAACAGGCTAGCATACGCATAAGTTCAGTTTCAAGAAGAAAACGTCCTCCTAATAAAATTTATTGTCAAACATTGATTTTCTGTATAGATGTTTTACAAGTAATAACTTTCTGCGAATGAAAGTAATCGACGATTTCAAAGTTGGAGGTGCTAGGGTAAAGCAAGGGCTAGCAGAGAACATCCACCAATTTCTTTCCAGCGTCACGTCAATTGTAAAATTTTCATAAGTCGTAAATAGGCACGCACACCTGCGCTGAAGCGAGGTCAAAAAGTGGCTGCTTCGCTCGGTTAAAAAAATCTCTTAGCAACGCAACCCTATGGGACCTTTGAGTGCAAAATAATCTACGAAAAATTCTCTATCCATACATTGTTAGATAAGATGCCTATCGATTCTCATAAGGGAGCATTGCCATGTCAAAAAAGACAGGTTTGAAGAAAAACGCTGTGAAACTGTCGAGTTCTTGCTTCTTCTTTAACAAGGATTTTTGCAGATTTCAATATGTATTTGATAGCCAAGGAGTTGCTCAACACACGAATCGGACAGAACTTATGCAGCAACCTAATATATACTTTTTGGACACAGTTATGTAGTGGTCTTGCAGCACAGCTTCCGCTATTTAGCATGATAAGAATGAAAATCAGCTTTAGATAAACGCCTAGCAATCGCTTCCATAAATTTCTTGTCTTTCACAAAAGCGGTTGCAAGCGGCTGCCTTCTGAAGTATAACTGCAAAGAATAGTCATACATTTCTGGTTATCAACTCCGTTTGGGCATCTGCTTCTAAAGATAAAAGTACACTATGCGTTGAAGCTTTGCTAATAGAAGGAACCATCGATTAAAATTACATTGTTGTAAGCGGTGAACTTGCTCAGAAAGGGATATTACGATCAAAGAAGTATTTGAAAGTTCTCGATAAAAAGTACGCTAAGACAGTCATATAAGTAACATTGAAATTACTAGTAATAAATTTTGGCATTCTATCTCTATGTAATCGAGCGTGAGTCTACCGGTACTCCAATTCCACTTCCGATTCATGCTGTTGGCAAAGATTTGACATTCTTTTCCCAATTTGGAGACAAGATCTTGCCTATAATTTTCCTGATTGCAACAATGATATAATCGTTTTAGAGTTGAACTTCTAAAACCTATAAAAACTAGATTTTTGTCAACTTGCAAAGAAGTTCTTGTTTGAGTAGCCTCGTCTACAATTCTGCGCTTTGATTAAAATCTTGGGAGGTTAGATGCCTCAAGCTTGAGTAAAGGAAGTTATCCTTCTGAATCACTCAAGTTAAGCAAAGATTCTGTGTATAATTGTCGACAAAGATCTTATATAGATGACAGACTGTACCCGGCAGTGATGGGTATTTCTACAAGAGCTTGCTATATTTGCAATCAGCATACTCACTCACTCTCAAACGCTAACTTTTTGCTCCGTACCACAAAGTTTGCAAAAAAACTGATATTGATATTGATGGCTAAAGAAAAGTAGCCTGAACATTTAATTGTATGTGCCCGAAGTTTGTTCTGAATTGCTGCAGAAAAGGATATTCTATTTGGAACAACGTCCAGACAGGCAAACAAACAGGCAGACAGGCACACCCATGAACAATTACTGTTTAAGATTTCAAAACCAAAACCATGTGTGCACAAGGAGATCCGAGCTCAGTGGAGAAGCTCATTTTATCAAGATTGTTCCTTACAATTTGTGACCTTGGACATCGTAAATGTCAAAATTGTTGATTATTTATACGAGCTGTACTTTCTTTTTCTTTGTGGGAACTATGCCACTTTACGATGGCCGCCATTACTCACAAGTAGTGAGATGCTTTTTTGTTCCATCTAAGTAGTGAGATGCTTAACTTCGTAAAGTTTTCACGGTGGCGATCAAGCATGAATATCACAGGGAAACATGCTTTTGTCGTTTTAAAATGATGTACAGAGTGAATGAAGTTTTTGCGTTGCAGTTTGGGCCATAGAAAATCAGTTGCTGTGTTTTCAAAACATTTTTTGGTGCATTCATTTCCAACACATCAACATTTTGAAACCTCCTGGTGATTCAACACTCTTACTTTACGCCATTACAACTCTTTCTTCAACTTCCCTCCAGACGAGTTTAATGTGGAGTTGTGAATTTGACTCCTACGAAAAAAAGCTGGCTAGTCGAAGTGGTAGTGGTCTTTCTTAAAATGTACACCATACTCTCCTTAAACGGCATGAAACTTTGGTCTCTAATCCGTCTTTTTTTATCTGCAGAGGGTACTGTGTACAAATTTATGAACGTTCATCTTAAAAAAAGATTGGATGTGTGGGGGAATAAAGATTTTAAAAATATTTTTTCTAGTGCTTTAATCAAGCAATAATAATCACAGATGAGATCACACGTTAAATATTTTGTAAATCACACTATGCCATCCCATTTAGGCCCACGAGAATTTTAGTAACTAATTTTATCCTGGACTTGCATTTGGCTTTTTGCTCCAGTAAACGTTCAAATTCCTCTCCCAGAGAAACTCTACAGATAAGGGAGCAGATTTGTAAATAGCGCTTTATGCACGCCAAGAGGATCTACATACCATTTCAAAAAGCCATTTCAACTGACCATTCTTTCCTTGTAAATTGATCGTTTACGTGTACACTTAAAATCTATAACTTAACAAACCGCAAAGATTAAACACCGCGCAGTGACATTTCTTGTCGAACGGTTAGGAGTATACTTCTGCATACAAATCCAAGGTCAAGCCTGAGCTATG